GCTTATTAGTTGAATTATTTGAATTATTATATTTTGTACTTTGAAATATATTAAGAGCAAACCAATATTATTTTCAATTTTACATAGCATAACACTACATATAAACATAATATTCAAATAAGTATTGTACTCGATGAAATTATAAAAATTGAGTAAAATTTTATACTTTAAAAGGATTTATACTTTAACTGTATATTCAAATATTTTGCATGCCGTCTCTGTATGTTACGTTAAAAGAACCTGTCTTGAATGCATTAGGGACTTGTTCGACTATCTTCCTAAAGGAAATTCTATGCCTTTTGGCGGGGTTATGGGTTTGGAGGTGATAAAACACTTTAACCGATACTGGGAGGTATATACCTACTTTACTTGAAATGCTATTAGACGCAACTTAAAGCAGATCAATCGATATTTAGATGAACACTAGTATACAAAACTTATCGTTTCAATTTCATACCGTTCTGCAAGTGTTTTGCAGTAAGTGGGCCATGTTTTTCTTTATATGGAAATTGTGGTATACGTCTGCAGAAAATTTTTAAAATATATTATTAGATATAGGGTATAAAGTTTTAGTTATAATTAGTTAATAAGCTCATTAATTATTTTACGATTTTGTATTTTCACATAATATAAGACTTAATCTTCTTCTTTAAGTGTCGTCTCCCAATTAGAGGTTTATCTACTGCTACTCTGAAGAGTTCTAGAGAACTGCATTTAAACCAGTCCCTTAAATTCTTCAACCATGACACTCTCCTTCTTCCTATACTCCTTCCTGCTCTTATCTTTTCCTGTATTATCAGCGTTAGCAGTTCATATCGCTGTCCCCTCATTACGCGTCCCAGATATTGTAACTTTCTTATTTTTATTGTGTTTATTATTTCGTATTATTTGCACATTTCTAGCAATACTTCTGTATTAGTGTTCTTCTGTGTCCATGCTATTCTAAGCATCCTCCTGTAACACCACATTTCAATGGACTGTAACTTATTTATGTGTTCTTGCTTCAATGTCCAGCTTTCCAGTCCATAATGCAGTATCGAAATCACGTAGTATCTCAGTACTCTTACTCTCATGTTCTAATCTAAAGTCTTTGGTGCAGAAAATTGTTTTAATTTTTACAAACGCATGTCTGGCTATTTCTATCCTGCTATTTATCCTATCCTATCTACATTTCCCAAATGTATATTTGTTGGTATATTTATTTTCTTTGTTATTATCATGTATTTGGTCTTTTTAATTTTTATTTTTAGCCCATATTTTTCACAGAAACTGTTTGTTTTGTTTAGCAGTAATTGTAGATGTTCATCAGAGCTGTTAAGCTCTGATAACAGAGTTGTTAATAGATCTTCCGTTAATTATTATTCAGTTTGAGATAGTACTGCTTCGTCAAAAATGGCTTCACTATATACTTCAAATAGTAATGTGGACATAATACATCCTTGCCTAACTCCTCTCCTGATTTCAATTTCTAGACTGGGTTCGTTATCTATTACGATTTGTGCTCTTTGATTTCAGTAAAGGTTTGTTATTATTCATAAGTCCCTATGGTCTATTTGTTGTGTCTTTAGAATTTGGACTTATTTATCATGTCATACTTTGTTAAATGCTCTTTCAAAATCAACATAACAAACATGCACATCAACATTCATCTTTGCCATGGCCATAAGACAAAAGATGAAAGATCATTTTCTATAAAATGCTCTGTAACAGAAGCTGTTCAAGCATAATCAATTTACAAGTTGTTAGTCTTTTAACACAGCTGATAGTAGCCAACTTCTTCTTATTCTTTTTCTTCTCACGGTGCTAGTATTTTATGGATGTTCGCGATCAGCATGGCTTTCCTAAGTCCAGTTGTATTGAGCCACTTTTTCAGGTTTTGAAGCAAAAATATTCTTCTTCCCCTGGCCCACTGTTTACAAATACCTTGCCCTGAACAATGAGTTGCAACAAACCATATCTCTGTTCATTTGTACATCATAACATGGTTAAGATATTCTAATATGTGCCTTTGATTGTGTTATTCGCATCCCTTGCCCATTTTACGTAGGACTTCAGCATTATTTATACGATCCACACATGAAATGTTTAAGATGCGTCTGTAACACCGCATCTCGAAGGCCTCTACTCGGTATAATAACGTAGAATTTTGGTACTAAGTAGTAAATCGTGACTTCTGAAAAGAGAATTTATCTTTTTGTTGTTTTATTTCAGTAGAGTCATCCCATTGGCTGTTTGTGTTGGTATTATGGTACGTGTAGCTTGTATTAACCAACACTTGGCTGTTGGTTAATCAAGAGCCAACCAACAACAGTTAATTGGTTATTTACTACTGAAGTAACGACGTTCTACAATTTACACCAGTTGCTGGGGAAGCTGGGGAATGAGGGTTTTTAGAGGCATTTGTGTAGACAGAATAATAATTATAATAAATATACGTAGACCGTTGCGTTTCGATTTAATTTGAGTCTCTTACCATTCTCTAACACGTGTTTCTGGGTCTACCTGTCATCAGAGAGACTTGTAAGGAGACTTAAACCAAATCAAGCAGACCAAACCAAACCAAAATAATAATTGTAGTGTGCCTTATAGAATATGCCATAAAACGATTGGAGATATTTGAAATGTGGTGCTACCGACGTATGTTGAGGGTCTCAAGTATACACCACACAAGTAACATACCGTGGTATTAACAAGTCCTGCATCACCTAAGCGCCTTATAGTTTTTGAAGTTTAACACAAGATTTTTGTATATTTTCGCTAATTCATATTAAGTCTGTGCTTGTAGTTAGCATTATCGGTATACTTACTAATGTTTTTTTAATTACTAGCTTAAAATTTTACAGAAAATATTAAAATAATCTGATTGAATGGATTTCCCATAATCCGAGAAAATTATAAGGTGATTATTAAGTGGTTAAATTACTATTAAATTGAATCTTAATGACAAATTTGCCACACATTTTGACTATATAAAACTGTAGTTACCCTAACACATTTATTCGCTCTTTGATTTTTGATAAAAAGGTCAAAATGTCATCGCAGACCAAACAAACTAAATTATCGGACGAAAAGCATTTTGAAATTATTTTTCACCATAAAAACGACAAATTTAATCGCGAAATAGCACTTAACTATATGTAATCAATCTATAGTAATTAGAGTCATTAAGAAGTATGCTGATCAAGGAAAAATCGACGACAGCCCGCGTAGTGGCCGACCAAAGAAAACTTCTGTTCGGGGTGACGCTGCGTTAAGAAGAACAAACATACAACAAGTCTGGTAGACAGAAGCCTTAATTCCACCCAATTGACGAAGCTGTGATCTGAATCTACAGGTGTAAGCGTGTGCATTTTCACTGTGGGAAAAAGACTGCTTAGTTTTGGACTGCTTTCAGAAAATTAATCATTGTACCGTTTGAAATGGGCCAAGGAACATAGAGTCTGGACAGCAGAGCAGTGGCAGAGTTTACTGTTTAGTTATGAATCCACTTTCAAGATTAATAATTATACTGGAAATGCCTACGTCTCAGAAGATTTCCTGGTGAAGATTTTTTTTCCAAAATGTGTTCTTCCACAATTAAACATCCAACCTCCGTTATGATTATTTTTAGGATGATAATGCTCCTTGTCATAGAGCAAAATTGGTTAAAGCTTGGATGGAGAGTATTGAAATTGATAGGATGGACTGGCCAGCGCAATCCCCGGACCTCAATCCCATCGAGAATTTGTGGCAAAGGATATCAAACATCATTTCCAAAAGCAAATCCACAAATAAATTGAAATTAATCTAATCTCTAATCCACGCTTGGTATCACTGTATTTCCATGAAGAAACTGTAAAAATTAATAAATTCCATGCCCAAAAGATGTGAACTAGTTATTTAAAACAAAGGCTGGCCAATTAAATATTACAATTAGTTTAAATTACTTCAATGTTATGTACAATATCATCTTGATGTAAATAGCCTAATTTTTGTAATATTGAATAAAAAATTTTCCGAACTGAATTCTTTTTATTAATCAAAATTTTTGCTGTGCTTGTGTTATCAAAAATAATATTGTGTTTAAGTGCTTGTTTTTATGTAGATAGTAAAATGGTTAAGAAATATTTAAGGTAAATGCCATAAACTTCTATTTTCATGTATTTGGTAAGGTGGTGGTTTTTAACACCACTGTAACTATTCTCCAGAGGCTAAGAAAAGACAAAGAAATAAGGGAGGGCCTGGAGGAAGGCATATATCCTGGCTGGCCAGGGTTACAATTATAATCACTTGTAAGAATTAGTAATAGGTTTTTCGGTAATAGGGGATTCATAAAATGAAGAAGGGGCTTTAACGTTTTTTTTTAATGTAGATTGGGAACAAGTTGAGAAAAAATGTTGGTACGTTGGATTTTTTGGATTTGCTGCTAACTTTACCGCATAATTGAAAACATTTTTTACAATGTCCAAATGTTCGTTGGATTTCCACTAGGCTTGTTCTATATGCATCAAGAGTTAGCCTTAAAGCTGTAACGTGGTCTACTTGTTTGATACGAAGCTTCTATATGCCGTTGTATCAGTTTTTTTCTATAGTAAAATGCTGAGGCAAAAGTCACGGAACCAGCGCCACGAGAAGACGTCACGATAGCGTCACGAAATAGTGGTTCTTCACATCGATTCACTACTCTAGATCGATTCGTTTCTAGTCATCATATGTATATTATAAACAGATGTAAATTAAAAACTGCCTGAAAAATCAGGAACATTACTCTGATAATAAGGCTGTTAAATTGTCTTTGGACTGGAATAAGAATATTAACCGAAATTCCTCATTAAACAAATTCAAAAACTCAATAAGAGTAGGTTTAAACATCTTAAGATTACATATTTATTTATTACCTTCAACGGTCACCTCCCTTAAACGGACATTGCATGCGGAACGACCACTGCCCGTTCAAGGGAGAGTTCACTTATCGTCATTTTCCAGATTTTTAAAATACTCATATATTTTGTATTGGTTACAGGAAAATTGTCAAAACTATATTAGGATTATGGCGAAAACCAGTACGGGAAAATTACTTCTGTGCGGCACCAATGCCTTTAAGCCAATATGTCGAGAGTACAACATCTTAACCAAAAATTATACGTCAGCTAAAGAAAAACCCGGACAAGCAGTATGTCCTTACGATCCTCACCATAACTCTACTGCGATCTATGTTGGTATGTATATTTTTATATTAAAAATTTTTCTTCCAATTGATAATTTGATATCAAAAAATAAACGTTTTGTAATATTTAGGTCATTGACATTGATAAGTGGTAATAAAATATACATGTAATTAAAATACACTAATAAGATTGAAAAACTTCAAAACCTTTGCAACAATTACACCATTTTATAAAGAACCTATACAAAAATAAACAGCTGACACACAAACTACAATACAAAACATACAACAATCACCACACACGATCCAAAATTACAGAATCGAGGACATCCCCCCAGACATCTGTCAACAGAGACAATTCTATCGAGTTATCAATGACAACGATCTCATCCCAGATTTAGACAATAAAAATCTTCCCAACCCAAAAGGCAGCTTCCGTACGAACTACTAAACTTCTAGACCTCTAAAATCTCACGGTAAAACTTCGAAAAATCAACGAGATAGCAAGATTTCCATAAATTCAGGATTCAAAACTTTCACTTAGTCATTGCCGGGTCGACAAAAACTATGTCACAAAATCATCGAGAATAGTCTATCCGAAGACATATTCCCATTCACCAAAATAGTTCGTATAATTGCCAATCAACCCACCTCTTTCATTAGAGTTTTCACAAACTCTGAAACTAAATTCTCTAATGCACTCTCTAACGGTATTAAGATTGAGGCAGAACGATTGAAAGGCGAGATTCCAAGATCAATCAATTCCGTTCCGGTTGGACTTAAATATTGTTTGAAATATTGCAAAATTAGACACCTCAGCAACGAATGTTCCGAAAAAAAATTTATCTGTCCATTCTGTGAACAACAACACAGGTCTACTGCATGCCCCACGATAGGTAATCCCAAATGTCCCAACTGTAATGGAGGCCACCCGGCATTTTCACAAAAATGCCCACACCGAAGAATCCAACCAAAGAGCACAAAACAAACACAACCCGTACACACTCCCAAGAAAATCCCCTCATACAACATATCCTCGGACATGAAATACCTAATCCACTTCACGTCCATGATCATTTTTAAAGTCTTTCCTGAGAAGAGGAGTGACATCATCTGTTATCTAAATCAAATGTCCTATACACTGTATGGGTACATCATATCAACCTCCTGCTACAATTTCATAAACCAAACTTTCACTCAACTCCGCACATAAATACATGACACAACACACACATTTATTATTCATATATACACTTATCATTTACCCACACATACACACTTAAATTTTACCTCCAACAAGCTCACAAATCATAAACATACAACAAACACCGAAAAGAAACAAGCCAATAACTGAACAAATTCGCAGATCCACACACACCAAACGCTAAAGTCGCATTCAAAATCACGAGCACATAGGAGATTGGCTTTCTGTGGTTTCCCAATCTCATTTTACAACAATACCTGATCCTGGGCAAGGACACAGCCACAGCTATCCTCCACGCGTTTAAACCGAACAAAACAAAAAGTTCTACAACCTTAAAAGGACCGTATTTCCCAATGGAACTTGTACTTAGTATCGGACTTGGTCCAATCGGCGTACAAGAGGTAGGAAATCCTTCTGGCACTTCTGCTTTACAGCTTCCATTTAGTCCCGGAGAGCAGCATGTTTTTCCAATAAATTAAAAACTCACCCTTGAAGAGGCAATAGAGCCTAAACAAGGTAAAAACGTTGATTGATTAATTAAAATTCATGTGAAGTGGAGAACTAGTTTGTTATTTACTTCGACATTCTGGACTGCTGTATATTTATGCGTTTTTATATTTGGTTAAAATCAACTGAATAGGTAGAACTAGATGTTTTGTTTATCAGCAAACAGTAATTATATTTAGATCAACAAGTTCTTGTTTTTATTGCATCAAACTAGACTTTGTTATTTTTGTCCAGGCACCTGTTCTCTGAATGTTGATCTAGAAATTCAGAAATGTTTATATTTATCGGTGAATATAAAACGAGTTGGTTCACGATCTAATGCAGGTAAGGTGGAGAACTAGTTTATTTTCTTCGACATTCGTAATACTAGTTATAGTGTTTTTATTTTGATTAAAATCAACTAAGAATAGGTAGAATGTTTTGTTTATCAGCAAACAGTAATTATATTTAGATCAACAAGTTCTTGTTTTTATTGCATCAAACTAGACTTTGTTATTTTTGTCCAGGCACCTGTTGTCTGAATGTTGATCTAGAAATTCAGAAATGTTTATATTTATCGGTGAATATAAAACGAGTTGGTTCACGATCTAATGCAGGTAAGGTGGAGAACTAGTTTATTTTCTTCGACATTCGTAATACTAGTTATAGTGTTTTTATTTTGATTAAAATCAACTAAGAATAGGTAGAATGTTTTGTTTATCAGCAAACAGTAATTATATTTAGATCAACAAGTTCTTGTTTTTATTGCATCAAACTAGACTTTGTTATTTTTGTCCAGGCACCTGTTGTCTGAATGTTGATCTAGAAATTCAGAAATGTTTATATTTATCGGTGAATATAAAACGAGTTGGTTCACGATCAAATGCAGGTAAGGTGGAGAACTAGTTTATTTTCTTCGACATTCGTAATACTAGTTATTGTGTTTTTATTTTGATTAAAATCAACTAAGAATAGGTAGAACTAGATGTTTTGTTTATCAGCAAACAGTAATTATATTTAGATCAACAAGTTCTTGTTTTTATTGCATCAAACTAGACTTTGTTATTTTTGTCCAGGCACCTGTTGTCTGAATGTTGATCTAGAAATTCAGAAATGTTTATATTTATCGGTGAATATAAAACGAGTTGGTTCACGATCAAATGCAGGTAAGGTGGAGAACTAGTTTATTTTCTTCGACATTCGTAATACTAGTTATTGTGTTTTTATTTTGATTAAAATCAACTAAGAATAGGTAGAATGTTTTGTTTATCAGCAAACAGTAATTATATTTAGATCAACAAGTTCTTGTTTTTATTGCATCAAAGTAGACTTTGTTATTTTTGTCTAGGCACCTGTTGCACCGAATATTGATCTAGGAATTCTGAAATGTTTATATTTATCGGTGAAAATAAAACGAGTTAGTTCACAATAAAATTCAGATGAAGTGGAGTACTTTTTTTTTATTTTCTTGATGTGTTAAAAGTGTGGGGATAACTGTAATATTGTGAATTATAATATGTATTCTTATCAGAATAATTGGTTGATTTAAATAATGCTAGTATATTACTTAACTTATAACTTAAGTACAAGGCCCTACACCTTCAAATATTACATTTGGAACCTGAAAAAATTTTATGGGTATCTAAATTATAATTAATATGTGGAAATAGCAAGAGTTGATTAAATTTTTTTTTTGTTAAATGTTAAACAGATTATTGAAAATTGACAAAATTTATGGGTATACGGTGAATCTATTTGATGAGAGTTGTGATTTGTGGTATCTTATTGTTGTTTTGATAGAGAAATTGGCTAAACAAAACGTTATTAAAGAGTTATGATTGATGAGAGGAGATTCAGATATGTGGCTAGACTTTAGATGGACCCTTAAATTATCTGGGTATGTGAATTGAAGGGTTGTATATCAATGAGGGATTCAATTATTATGTGATCGTGAATGGTTTATAGAGGGGATGTACAATAGTCTGATCTGAATTTAGTTATGTCGCAAAGGAGCATAAAGAACATTAGGCATGTGGGTCAGACGGGAAGTTTAGAGTCCCAGAAAGAAGTGGGGAATGATGGAAAAGTTAGATGCATTAAAAGATTGGTTTGGAGTGAACTGAGAAAGATGAATAAATGATAAAACGAGAATGATTAATGTAAATGTTAATGTAGCAGTAGAAATTGCGGAAGTGGGTCACGGGAATAGTTGTTGATGGAAGGAAGTCTCGATTGAATGAGAGATGGCGATTAACACAATCTGGACTTCTCTGCTTTTCTTGATAATTTTAGGAAGTTTAGTTTAAGGAAGTTTTCTTGGGAATATTATGAATAAGTGATACTTCTAGGATATTGAGGGTGTGATTATGTTCTTTTAGATGTTGAGAGAAAGTGGAAGTGTTTTCTCTTTTTGTGTGCTTTAAAGAGTGTGAACACAATAACCTACAAGTTCTTCCTGTCTAGGTGGCATCACAATCCGAACATTTTAGTCTATAAAACACCACTACGCTGACCAAATTATTGAGTACTTTAAAAGAAACGTGGATGTTTTCGACTGAACGTTTTATGAGATATCGAATATCTCCAGAAAGACTCTCGCGATTATATGGAAGTGAAACGTAATTTTTTTTATTATAAAAAGATGTCGTATCCACCAAAAGGTTATTAGCAACGGAACAAAATATAAATACCAAAGTTAAACACCTACAGATTGTATAAAATGTTTATAGATCTGAGATAATTCACTATATTGTCACAGGAACAGTTTTGACCTAGAGCCTGTTATAGAGCGTTTGGGATCTTGTAGCGCTGTCTTTCTTGGTCATATTTACTACAAATTCTTAAAAATTGTTCGACTGACTGTTAATCGGACGTCACACTGATCACATATAGGCGGATTTTTCTTTGTGAAAAGGTAGGAGTGCGTTAATCTGGTATGTCCTAGACGTAAACGCGCAACCGCAATTTGTTCTCGTCTATTGCGCGACGATGGAAACCACTGAGACACACTATTTTTGATTTTATTTAGATTGGAATTAGTTTGAGACCACACATTTCGCTATAAACACCACACTTTATTTTTAAAATAAGCTTTTAAGTCACTGGAAACACACTTGTCTATCGGCTCCGACAAATCACTTAAAATTGCCTTTCGTGCAGTCCTGTCAGCTTCTTCATTTCCTGTTAATCCGACGTGTGAGGGAACCCATAAAAATTGGACGCTTCTTCCATGTTCATGAGCTTGGGAAAGCTGGTATTTTAGCAACGTTTCAAAAAATGTGTTTTAATGAGTTTAGATAGCTAAGGAATCTGTTATGATTAGGAATTTGTGAGTGTAAGCTCGTTAAGAAGTTTAACAGCACGGTATATGGCGTAAAGTTCAGCTGAATATGTGCTAAATGCTGGAGGTAAACGGAAATGAAGCTTGTTTTCTGAAGGAACGATTGATGCCCCCACTCCGTCTTCGGATTTAGATGCATCTGTGTAGATTTTATGGTAGTTGGGGTACTTATTTATCAGGGCCTCAAACTTGGACCGAATCAGAGAATGGTGTGTATTAGATTTATCTAAATACTCCAGAAATGCATCAGAAGTTGGTATGTCGATTAGTCAAGGCTCGGGATATTTAATATCTGAGGAGAAAAGCTCCGGAAAATTAATGTTTAGGTTTTGAAGAATGGTTTTAATTCTTTCGTAATATACACCACCGTTTGTACGACTTGCATCTGTACGATATTTGCGGAAACAAGTGAAATTTTTTGAATTGTACAACTGATTGGTCAAGTTTGTCTCCTGTAGACAAATAATATCTGGAGAATATTCAGATAAATGGAGCTGTAGCATAGGGAGACGATGGAAAAATCCATCAATGTTCCATTGAAGTATCGAGTTGAATGTTGAAGTTGTTGAACAGATTCGGAGTTAGATGATACTGAACAATTGTCTACAGAAGAGTCACTATATAAGTCAGAAATCTCTTTCCCTAAATGGTTGTGTAGTTGCTTTTGAAGTTTTGTAAACTTCAGATGTAAAGATGCAGTAAACCAGCCATATCAGTTGTAAATTTTTAACGACGCTAATAGTGTCGGAGGAGCCTTACACATTATCAATCAATAAGGACAATTGGTGGTAATGTAAAAAGAATGGTAGGGTATGATTATCAATAAAATTTTCAAGAGTGAAACGTAATTGGATTTAGTGGTAAGCTAAACTTGTTTGTTTTTTACTTCGACATTCTGGATTGCTGTAATAAAAGTTATAGTGTTTTTATTTTTGATTAAAATCAACTAGGAATAGGTAGAACTAGATGTGTAAATTTTTTTTACATATAAGTTATCAACAATAAAAATCGGTAGCTCGTTTCTAAAAAATGTTATTAAAATGTAATTTTGGAACTGAAAAGAAAGGAAAAGAAATATCTAAAAGTTGTCCTCGTTAAGTCAGGTTGAAGGCAATGATTTGAAAGCGTGACTAGCTCAAATTGATATGCGGTTAATTTAAAGTAACAACAGTCATGAAATTTAAATCCCTATAATAAGAGAAGCGAACCGACAACCGAACTTTCCGTTTATAATTTCAAAAATGATTAATACTTAACGGTTGCTCGTTTCTTTGCTGATTTGCATGCCCAGGAAACTATAAAAATAAATTGCTAAGCAAAAGGCACGACAACAGATAAATAAAAAATTGCTTTCTTATTAATATCTGTTCGTCAGCTTTGGCGTTTGAAATTTTTTCATAGGACTGCGAAATACTTTTGATTTTTGCTCTTTATTTTCAAAATCACAACGTTCATCCAAATTTATTTATCTGTGGAGCTATGTAAGTGCAATACTATTTGAATCGTTTATTTCAGAAACCCAATAGTGTAGTTTTTCATATATTCGACAAATGAATAAAAACTATTTATCCTTACTGTTAGAAAAGTTTGGTAAAAGAAATAATAAATAAGACTTACTCACAATCAGTTTAATTTAAGTATCTAGACGACCGGTTTCGCTTTCTACAATATGCAAAGCATCTTCAGGTCTGTCGATACAATGTTAATTAAATGCTGAAATAATAAAACCCATACTAGGGTGTTGTCTTATAAAGGTATACAAAGATAAGTTATATAAATTACAGTAATTATGCCAATATTACATGTCTGTGGGTTTTCCAAAAAATGAATAAACTGTTTAAGCAGACAAAGTAAGAGCCACAAATTGATATAAAATAGTCTATTAAATTGTAATAAATTAGTAAATAAATAAATAAAACATTACTTACATGCAGGTACACTATTAATTAATGGTTGGGAGAACAAAGTTCAAACTATCCTGTATTGCTGAATGGAGAACTTCAGTTTTTACTATTGTAATTGTTTGACAATACACGGGGAAGTTTCTTGAGGAGATAGATTTTATCAAATGAAGTAAAAAATAGCTATAATTTGATTGTTTGTTAAATGAGAGTGATGTTCTATATTATTTAATTCTTTAAAAGTTATTTATATTTATTCAAGAGATATATTTATGAAATGTATGTTATTTATTGAAATTTTATTAAGGTGACAGTTGTATGACAATGAATGAAATTAGCTGTACAATTGTGTGGGTGTGCAAATTTCTTTAACTTGTAAGTATCAAATTTCTTTGATAAAGTTCAAATGTTCACTTCAAAACAGGTTAATTCTAGGCGGAATACGATTAATTTTAACTTTGGTGGAAATGGAACTTATGAAACCCATTGATTTAAAAGAAAAAACATTAGATGCTCCTCTTATTTGCAGTACAGCTCACTTATTTTACGTTCAAAAGACTTTTAATATTGCTCATGTTAAAGCTTATTTCAAGCACTACAAGACCCTTTTTTTATTAGAATGCCTAAAATGCATCTGTTCGTCGCTACATAGCATTGGCCACATCGATTAAATTTCAGACAAAATAAAAAACGGCTTTGATCTGTAATATCTAGCTTAATATTGCATTTAGAATACTTTTTAAACAACCAAATTGTTCATTTTTTACCTGCTACAATTTTGTTTTTTATAAAATTTTCGATAAAACGTATATTTTTGGAGATATTTGCAAAAAACCGATGAAAAACGTAAAAAAATTGCGAATTTTTAATTGCCAATAACTTGAAAAGTATTGGATTTTTGGAAAAACTTTAGAGATGATTTTTTGCTTAAAATTAAGCCTTCTATTGACATCCGAGGTTATTTTGAAAAAAAATTCACCCCTGAGAAGGGGTTGCAACCACCCCCAGGGTGAATTAATTACTATTAAACTGGGAATAAGCCACAATTAAAGATAAAAATACGTTTATTGACGTTTCAATTTCCACTTCGGAAATCCGAAGTGGAAATTGAAACGTCAATAAACGTATTTTTATCTTTAATTGTGGCTTATTCCCAGTTTAATAGTAATTAATTCACAATGCCACAAGAAAATAGCTTCAGAACAACCCCCAGGGTGGTTGCGAAGTTCAAATCATTTTCACTTTTAAAGTTAAGGGTAAGATGAATCAAATTTCAAAATTGTATGCAATTCGGTTCACAGTAAAAAAATTCGGAGCAATAATTCTTAAATGACTGCAGTATGACAGGTGCCTTTTGACGGGTTTCTGCACTAAAATATGTATTTATGCTTAAAGAGTCAGAATCTGTATTTAACTCGTTTTTGATAAAAATGTCAGTTAACGAGTTTCTGAAATAAACGATTCATTTGTCGATAGGTCTGGTTTGTTAATTACATTGTCCCAATTATCAAATAATATGTAACAAATTGTTTAGTCGAAAATTCGGAATTACTGCTATGCATTATTAACTAAAAAGCCATATTATATCATAAACGGGATTATCTATGCTACATAGGCCCCATAAAGGCTTTTAGTATGAAAATGGAAAATATTATATTACACGTGCTATACAGAACTGACATGCCAATTAATCGTTTGAGAACGAAAATATTTACTTCATAAACAAATGCATGTTTGGATAAATGGAAAAAATGTTATCTCTTTAATTAAATTGCTATTTTATATACAGTAAACCAGATAAACCAGATAGACTTTATACTCGTAAATAGCAGATATAAAAACTCTATAACCTTAACTGAGAGCTAGCTAGATAGTTAACTTATCCTGACGCAGATGTTAACTCAGACCACAACCCGTTAGTTGCTGACGTGAAAGTAAAATTCAAAAGAATTGAACTTAGGAAACAACAACCAAAAATTAATGTAAGAATGCTCAAAAACGAAGAAATAAAAAACAAATTAAAAAATAATGTGAATAAATATGCAAAAAACACTAACTGACAACAAACAGATTATGGATGTAAATAAAAAGGGGTATATTATAAAAAACACAACAACATAGGTCAGAGGCTAAAAACAGTGGATGACAGAAGAAATACTATGAAATACAACGAATAATTAAGAAAAAAAAACAGCTAAGGAAATCTATTTGATGGAACAATTTAAAGAGATAGAAGAAATAGAAACAAGATATAATATGAGAAATATGCACAAAAAAATAAGAGAACTGACGTGAATGGGTCGAAATAGACAGTAGGGCCATATAAAAGACAAAAACGAGTACGACTAATATATTTACCAGAGAAATTAAGACAATTGTACAAAAATTGAGAAATTGTACAAAACACTACACTAAAACAAGGACAAACAGTTTAAAATTAATTAAAATGGTTTTACGCTCTACATTCTTTGTCAGTAACAGGAGAATGATTCTCTCTCCTGTGAGACAATGTAAGATCTATACTACAAGAGAATTCTTATCCCATAGGTCTGTTAAATTAATTTTCGGTTCTCCTTTTCCTTCACAAGTTTCTGTCAACCAAAATTTTCATAACAATGAGATCCGACAATTGACATTGACACATAACGCATCAATATTACCATCTAAAATAACTTATGGTTGGCTTTCACAATACAGGAGTCATCGAATGTTGCTTATTCTATACCGTGTACTAATTGTAATAAAATTTACATAGAAGAGTCATCTCGTAATTTTCACAGCAGAGTGATATCACATCGTAGTGATATAAAAACCAAAAAAAATCAATGCATGTGCATTGACAGAACATGCACTAAGTCTGAAACATGAATTCAATTTCGATGATTCCTGTATTTTGTCAAAAGAAAAGATCCATTCAAAACGTGTTTTTTTGGAAATGTGTTTCATAAAGTCTAGCACATCTTGAATCAATAAAAAATCTGACATAGATAAACTAAGTAACATTTATTTACTAGAAAAACACCAAAAATAAAATAAATATTTACCTGTACATAAATTACACCTATATGTATAATATGTTGCATACCATTAAGACAGGTTTAAAAAGTATAGTCACCTAAGATGGGCCTCTAGTATTTCTTGAAAAGAAAGATAACATCAAGTACACCTAATTACATGTTAATTACAGTGTTTTTACTTTCCAGTCTCTATACATATGAGTTGAAACACACCAGTAAAACATGCCATAAACTAAGTTTATTATCTTTACCATAAATTTTAAAAATTTTAGAATGTATTTTGTCCATAATTTTATATTTTAATGTGTGTTATAAATGTTGAGTGTCAATGCTTATATAAATAATCTCAACGACTAGTAAGTTACACTGAAGAATTGTGATATTTTTTAAATATTTACATATTTGTCTTATTACAGTGTCTTGAAAATGGAATAAAACCATTCCGAAAGCTAGACAAAAAGTCAAAAGAGTGTTTTTTTAACATCCCGGCCAATATTCTGACTGCAACCCTAATAAACTGTGTTGTTTGTTTATATCGATAGTCACTAATATCCAGTATTTCTTATATATATATATATATATATATATATATATATATATATATATATATATATATATATATATATATATATTATTGTGATATTCAAAGTCTTAGTGCGCCAAGCAATTAATTAGCTAATTAATTAATTAATTAATTAAAATTATTTAAATGATATGATTATGATTCTATCACACTTTTTAATTCTCTTATCTAAGGGTTATATCCGTGCTTCAATATCTATGCTTTACATGTGAAAGGTAAGGTCCAAAGAATACCGGAATAATAAAAAACATATTTGATATAACATTATATATTGAAATAAAAATAATGAAATAAAATTCATATTCAAATGTTTTCAATAAACAATATCTCATATAATGATTCTCAAAATTTTGTTCTACGTACGTGAACCTTTAAAATTAATGGTACAAACAATATTAGTTAAAATCTCAAAATCCCAATTATTATTCTAAATCTCCTTATCAAAACATTTATATATTTTCTAAAGTAATTGTAAAAATTGTGTTATCAATAAAAGAAAAACTGCAGAAAAACAAAACTATCTCTCTCTGATGATGAGTGGTCTAAATCCTTGTTCCTTGTAGCCTATACTATCTATTCTTAGCAGCTCCCTAGGTAATCAGCAATCTTACAACAAAGTGTTGCAAGTTTATCGTCCTTAATGATCTCCTTCAAATGCACGAATCGTTCAAATTATGCTAGTCTCTTCTCCTCTCGATAAACTGAATCTCTCGTTGGCCTGAGTGAAAAATGACTCTTGGAATATCTTCTCTTTACGATAAACTGAATCTCTCTTTGGCCTGAACAGTGATTCTTGGAATATAAGTAGAAAAATATGACTTACAATCTTTTACTGGATCAGCTTCTGTCAGATACACTAACTACACGAAAACTCACAAACTTTCACTGCTACTGCTTCCTACCTCTGGGAAACTAGCCGAGAACAACGGCCGTTCGCCTTGCACCCTTGGAAACCAACTGACCATATTTTTTTCTTCAAAAACTAACTATCGTCTCATTCTCAAAATAACCATCCCACCTTTTTCAATCTCATCCAATCAAAACGCGTCATACATCTCCTATTTCTTCATTTCGATAACACAAACAAATTTTTACCTACAATTATAAAGTTTTCTAAAACTTATTTACAAACTAATCTTTTTCTACCAATTCTTATGATCTAACAAAAACATATCTTTCTAAAATCTATTCTATTGTCCTAATTACTGCACAAATTTATTTGGAAAACCCGCTTCCATTGTCTAGGATTTCATTTAAGCTCATCACGTCACTCAAATATATTTTAACAAAGAAAATAATTTATGCATATCTTACGTTTTGTTCAATATCGGTAATCCAAAGATAAAAGACTTTCATTCTTCGAAATGTTTGTAGTTTATTATTCGACTTATCTGAATTATTTTAATTTTTTTGAACTTTGAAATATTTTAAGCAAACCAATATTTTTCTCCATTTTACATATCATAACAATATATATATATAATGTATATATATATATATATATATATATATATATATATATATATATATATATATATATATATAATATACCTTAATTTATATTTATTTATAGTTAACGTGTAAAGTATCTTTAATTTAGATCAAATGCATAAATTGAGCCGATATCACGCAAGTGATTGATGAAGTATCTAATCCTTTTCATCGAAACCTACTGGGATACACACTTGGTTCGATGGGTGTTCGATGGGCGGGCGAGGCGAACACGGCATGGAGGAGTTCACCGTCGCCGCCTGCCGTCATTAACGCTATATAAATCAACGATGTTCTGACGTAGAGACTGTCTACCACTTAATGGAAAACGTTCGCTAGTAGATAATGCACCTGCGAACAACCTTATAAATACCTTTCATGAAAATATTTAATACTGTGAATTATGTTTCTCCATGTTGCTCCAAAAATCATCTACAAGGATAATAATTATATATAACTAAAATTATTAATTAGACGTTGTAGTTATATCTCTTGAATAAGTAGCTACGACAAACGTGTTAGAAATTGAAGACAAATAGCCGCACAGTTCAAAAACTTCCCATTTTTTTTTTATTTTTTAAACGCAGTACTAGTAAAATTTATTGTCGAAAGGATATACAACAAGTGAATCACAAAAATTGAAGTGAAACCTACAGAAAAATGGTTACAGGGCGAACTAGACTGTAGGGAATTAATTTTAACATCAACAGAAAATAATTCCATTTATCGGTAATTTGAAAAAAATTTTGAGTAAATTTTTTGTTCAATTAGAAGGATGTACGTGTTAGAGTTTGGAGAAAACCAGACGAGCGCTGTTTGGATTCCACAATTCAAGAAACTCAGGATTTTAGCGGAGATTCAATTATGGTTTTGGGATGAGATAGTTTTAAATGACCGCTCTGACCTAGTTCTTATTCGAAGAGGGCCATGACGGCAGAGCGATACGTAACCGAAGTTCTTGAACAACATGTTATCCCATTTGCTAAAAATATGGGTCCAGAATTGATCCTTTACGAGATCGTCCGTGACCAGGATAGTGCAAAATTATTTGACTACCCACAATATTCAAGTTTTGGAGTGGCCAGCGACAAGTGCAGATTTAATTCCCATTGAACACATTTAGGATATCCTCGGGAAACGCTTGAATGATCTTCAGCCACTAAGAAACCTACAACATGTCGAGGAAGAATAAGAACAAATCTAGATCTGGAAACTATTCGAAGTGTGTTTGAAAACATGTTTGGACGTTGTGCAGAAGGTCTGCGAGTTAGGCGAGCCTATACACATTGTTAGTTTTGTTTTCAAATAATTTTTAGCAACTTTGAATTTTGAAACGAATTTTGAAATTCGTAAGTCCCTATGGTCTATGTTTTTTGTCTTTAGAATTTGGACTAATTTTTTATGTCTTACTTTGTCAAATGCTGTTTCAAAATCAACGTAACAAACATGCACATCAATATTTATATCCATGAATCTTAAAATGCAACACATTAAAATGCATGCAACACATTAAAAGCCAATTAACGCTTCTCTGCTTCCTAGTCCGTTTCTGAACCCAAACTGACTATCATCTATTTCTTCTACCAGTTTTTTTATTTATACGACCATGTATTATTTTCAAGAATAATTTGAGAATGTGACTTATTAATGACATTGTTCTGTATTCACTGCAAATTCTTAGCGTTTGTTTTTTAGGGATGGCACACAAAAGGAGGAGAGTAACCATTGTTTCTGTATGTGTCCTGTTTTGTATACTGAGTTAAATAAGTCTATTATAATGTCTAAGATTTCATCATTTATGCATTTTTGCTGTTTTTTAATGCCATTTTAATTTCCTCTTTTAATATCATTAAAACCATATCCTCTTCTACTTGTATCTCCATCTGCTCCGTTCTATTGGCTTTGAAAAGTTCATTGATGTATTCTGTCCAGCTCTTTATTTGTCGTTAGTATTCAACACAAGCTTCCC